CACATATATACTCTGTGTGTTTTCAGTCAAACCGAGCGTATATTTTTATATGCATATGGCAATTTTATATAGGGCAGAAATTGGGATTTCCTTCCTTTTGACCACAGCCTCCTCTATTCCTGTCTAGTTACCTCGTAACATAGAAGTAGTCATGAGCCGTCATGCAGGCTCAAGGTTAAAAGAAGTTTCACACAGCAGTGTTACACAGCTTGTAAGTAGATACCAGCGAAGTACACTGAGTCAGTGCAAAAAATCTGCATTGGAGTGATACTGTAGGTGTAATCATACCATTTTAGGTACCTGTGTCCCTTGGTGTGCTCTTGCAGGTGTTAGAATTACAAAATTCCTTCCTCAGTACCAAACTGTAAAGGAAATAAATAGTGACGGGCAAATCTCAAAAGGATTGAAAGTTCCATTCCTGCAGTTTTTCTCTTTAGAATATTTATTCATATTGTTTTGATTTGGAAACTAAGCTGGGAATTTCATGAGAACAAGCATTTTCATGAGATTTCTGGGATTTAATTACCTTCTGTTTGATATAAGTTTTACATGTTGTAACATGATTTTAATAATGCTCTGTTTATGCTTTTTAGAAATATTTTTCTTATGTAGTCTTCAGCTATGTGTCACGTAAAGGCTGCCCTCTGACCACATGGTAAAAGGGTACTTTAATGGTACTTCAGGGGAAAATATAGGCTATGATTTATATGCCTTTTGTAAGAAAGAAGAGTCTCGGAAGTGTCCCAGCTTGGGAACACACGCACACATTTAAAAAAAAAAAAAAAAAAAAAAAAAGTATTATTCCAAAGCCAAGAGTTTCATAGAAATTGAGGAATGGTCTCTTAATAGCTCTTAAAGCTATTGTTTCTTCTCTGAAAACTGTTGTTTCTCTTGCCTGTAAAATGAGCATGATGATACCTGCCTGAGCATTTGCATTTCAACTAGAAAAATTTGTTGTTGTTCAGTTTAGTTAGTCTGTGACAGACATATAACACTTGAATAATAGTAGATAGCTCTGCTAATTCTGTAACTGTAGATTCACAGAAGATCTAAGACCTGATTATATTTTATCTGATAACGCTGTCTGTGTAATGGATCACAGATAGAAAGACTAGCTATGATCTCCGAGAGCAGTACAGTTTGAAAGTGGGAATCTTTTTGAGCAGAGGTAAATTTAGGAGACTGAAAAAGAATGAGGCAATATTAATGCTTTGTCTCATGTAGCTCTAAGTTGGTCCTTCCAACTGAAGGCAAAGTCGAGAACTGTAGAGGTATTAAAAAAGAAAACATAAATAAAAATACCTTAACTGAAACTGCAAAAACTTTTGCTTTGAGGTAAGGTTTATGTAGGTTTTCAGTTTATCCAAATTGCTTCACCCATCCTTAGAAACACTAAGAGTACTTTGGATTTCTATAGCACCTTTCATCTGAGCACCTCAAAGCACTTTACAGGCATTAATTTAATTAAGTTTCACAGCACTCCTATGAGCTAAGTAATGTTTAAATAAGGATCACTTCACCCAGCACTGAAATGGAGCCACCGCTGGGGTGGAATGTGGTAGGCATTTAATAGTATATAGCAACTCTGCACACCAGCTCAGGAGAGAGAGGGACTGCTGCATCCCACTGGGAATGCAGGGTGAATCTCGTTAGGCAGCATTCAGAGTTTATTTCTGTTCCTTTTCCTTTGTAACTGTGTGTTAAATTCCAGCATATTTTTTGATGACTGCAAGGGGTTAGGAACTTGCTCTTGGGTCCTCCTCTAAATGATCCTTGGTTAACCATGGTTTAGTTTGACAGTGCTGTGATGCTGAACTGAGTTACCACCACTAATGAACACAGTCTCTGTTACTTTCATGTCTTGATAGTCTGATACTGATTCAAGGAGTGGGGAATATCATCTACTCTGTAAACAGTTGTGGACTGGCAGCATTGGAAGTTTGCCGTGTGAGTAACTATCCCTGTCTATCGCAGCTGAATTTGTAAGACCTGGTAGGATCACATTGCAAGGTACTGTTACCTTCTCAAATTATGTCACGGTGCCAAGAAAGGATGGGCTGCAGTTTCTGACAGCTTACTTAGCTTTTGTATTCAAAGCTGAGCTAATATATTTGGTATTTGAATCAATTTTTACCAAAGCCTTGGTACCGCAACAAAGCATTTTTTGGTTCTTATTTTCTGAGGGCTGGAGAATGTGAGCATGCCTGTTTGCAAGTGTTTTCCTTTGAAGAGCAGCAGTTTATGGAATTTTAATTTTCAGCATGCTCCATGACTTTCACCCATGTTAGAAAGCATAGCTGGAGTGGAGAAGAGGAAAGCAATTCGTGCCAGTGGAGATCAGTGCTTGCGAATCTGAACTGAAGCATCCATAGGTCAGCAACATGTTGGTTATTGAAAGCAGAAGGAATTTCTTTATCACTGTCTGAAATGATGACATAATATTGATATGAAAAGACATGGCTGTAATACCTCTAACTTTCTACTGATGTCTTTGCCATTGTATTTTGTGTCGTGTTTGTTATTTTACTAATTCACTAAGGTGCCAAGTTGGGTGTGCCAACCAAAAGGAGAGATTGCTGTATTTAATCTTCTACCTTCTTCATGGCCATTTATCCTTTTAAATCACCTTCTCTTTTTTTAACATGACATTGAAAATCTCTTGTCTTTTAAGTTAGTACTGTAGAGGGAATATAATGAGAAATTCTGTTCTGCAGAACATAACCACGGGGCAGGTGGTTTCCATTACGAGCTCAGCCAGAGCTTCCTTTCACGCCAGCAGCTTCCCACAGCTAAAACTAGTCTGTTCATCTCTATGAGAGGGAAATGTGTGGGGGAAATGGAGATGAGCCCTGTCAGTTACGGGATTACTCAAATAGCTTCTGTGACAGTCTGAGGATAAGGATCCCTTAGGAATCCTATTTGAATTTGTGGGCGCTGTTTGTACTTGTGACAGTGGCAAATGAGAAGATTCTGCTGGCAGGAACTTGGCACCTGAGGAGTGACGGTGGAGGCAGGTCTGGACGGGTGCAAGAGAGCAGACTAGCGACATTGGTGTTGAGTGTCTCTCACCTGCTTGAACAGTGAGGCCTTTTGTGAACAGTTACTGTCCTTACAGGACTTCTGGGGATGGGGAAGGAGTACGTGTCTGGAAGTGTTTTAGGAACAGAGGCCTTGTTTTGGAGAGAGAGAGGGGAAGATTAAAAAAAAGGTTCCTCTATCGCTGTGACCCCTTGACCAAGAAGGGACAACTTCCTACCTCGGGTGAAAGAATATACGTAGAGGTAACAGCCTTATTTAGAGAATTAGAAGATCTTTCGAAAAGGGAGAGGTGATGCCGATCGTGGATAACAATGACAAAAAAGAGGGAGGATACAGATGCAAAAGGCAAAATTGAAGCTACAGACAGAATGCTACATGGTAGGATTTTCTAGAGTGGAAGAGAGGTGAGTCCTTTCTGTAACAGAAAAACTGAATACCATGGAGAAGGTCAGTAGGGATGGTTCAGTGATTCTCAAAATACTAAATTAGCAAGTGAAATATCAGGCAGTGGGCTTCAAGCAAGTAAAGGGGTTACTCTTCTACACAGTGCATAAATGGTAGAATACCTTGCCATAGGATGTTATGGAAGCCCAGGACAAGACAAATGGGTTAAATGATTAGATAAGTTTATGAAAGAAAAGTCAGTTGGAACCAACTTAACTACAAAGATGCAAAAATCATCACTACCTTGGGAAACCCAACAGCTGCAGAATGCTACAAGGTGGATATAGCTTTATAGTTTGCCTTCTACTTCACACGCTACTTAAGTATTCACTTCAGGCCACGCTCTGAAAGTGCCTGTGGGATCTAAGTAGTCTTTGGTCCAACTAGAATGCCATTCCTATACTTTTAAGGTATTTTAAAAAAGGGTTCTTCTTTAAGCCAAAGAGTTGTTTATATTTTAGGTACAAGCCTAAGGCACATATGGATATGAGAAGCTGAAATTGACTTATTCAAAAAAGTTGGATCACGCTTAACTTTAAACTCTTGAGGATTGTCACTGCAGTCAATGGAAATATCCGTATGCTAAACTCTAAGTATAGATGTAAGTTGTTTTCTGGATCAGTTACTTGGCACCTGACAACAAATGAACATGTATTATTGCAAATCGGCATATGCTTTTTAAAATCTTCCTGCTATTCAGCATGAGAATAAGTGCAGTCATTGCCACAGAATAGATTTTGTGTGCAGTTTGGCTCACTGGGAATTGGAACGGGTAGATGCAGAGGTGGAGGTGAAGCTGTTTTGAGGCACAGGAAAATATATCCCCCCTCTACCATGCCCTACTGCCAGCACGGAGCATTAACTGAAGAGCTTGCCAGGTGAATGAAATCTGCTTGCTATATATTTTCTAGAGATATAAGGTACATTCCTATTTGATTCTTTTTGTTTTTTCTGTATTATACCCATCACCATGCTAAAAGAGTACTAAGGAACATAATCAAAGTTCAGTGAGCTTTGGGTGTCTCTGAATTCATTTGACAATTCAGGTTCTACACTGATTTTGAAATCTTATTCAGGCTTCGTTGTTGGGCATTTTGAACAAACATGCTATGTCATCAACTTTAAGTAGGTATATGGAAACATAGATTCCACTTAAAACCTGAAGATTAGTTGCATAGGAGGAACTGATCATGAAGTTAATTAAAAGTGAATAAATCACAATTTTAAGATAACTGTAAAATGTTAAAATGGATAGGTTAGTTTATTTACAGAATATTTCCAATACTATATACAAATGTATACAATATATGCTTATATTTACTCATATACATATTTATATTTACCTAAGTATATATGCTAATATTTACTAATATACATATTAAGTGTGTATTTAATAGGAAAATAGGAATTGTAGTTTTTAATTTAGCTTTTACCTTTTAAAGTTAAAATAATATAAAACTTCTCAGCAAAATATCTCAAAACATCATTCTTTAAATTTCATATTTCAGGGCAATTTTATGCTTGTGTATATCTTGTTGAGGAAGGAAGCAGCAGAAATATAGCTTTGGACTTTAAGACCTCTTCCCAGGTTAAGTTTCTTTATATTCCACAAATAACTGGCCTTTGGGTCACTGGTTTTGAATGAACTTCCACTTTATTTACACAGCCGTTCTTTAATTTAGTTTTCTATTTCAGTGATGGAACAAATCCTTCTTATTGTTTGAGAGAATTCAGAAAATGCTTCAAACCAGAAATATTGGCTTAGCTGGCAACCAATCTGACCTGTGGCTTAGGTACCAGAGGATGTATTGCCTCAACTCCCAGCCTTTTTGGTTACAAACTGCATACTGTGCAATATTATTGTTGTTCCTTCGGTGAGTTTGTTTATTTTTATTTTCGTAAATCAAATACAAACCAGGTGGCGAAAGACTAAATAGCTAAACTACAGTCAGGAAGTGGTTAGAAACAAAGCAACAGTAGCCTGTTGATTCTCAGCTGGATGACCCGATCGGCAGACCCGGTCCCAGGGTCTGTGTATTTCTAAATTATGAAGCTGCTGCTTTTTTTCTGGTTATATTACCTTCTGCAGAGCAGCTGCCAGAAGTGACTCTGGGGCTTGAAGTCTTAGTATTAAAGGTGGACATAGACATGGATGTAACTGTCTTCCTGGTATTGTTTCTGATTTGTTGAATGTGGTAAAATGATATTTTTCTAATACTCTGTGATGTTTTTAGCAGGAATTCTGCCACCTCAGCTTAGCCCCGTTCCAGCAGAGAGCTGCTTTGTCTTGCACTGCTGTATTCCCATGCACCATTTCATCTCCCAGACTCTGCAGAGGACTTTACCAGCCACCGTCTTGGGTCAATGCCCTCAATCAGAGGTGAAAGAGCCTCCCCTGGCTCAGGAATAGGTGGATTCCCCTCTTCTACACCATGGACACTACTCTGTGCAAGGTTATGGGATACTATCTGTTTTCTCACCTCACACTTTCCAAGGGCCTTTATAAGATATTGAACAAATGTCCACTCGTCCTCATCTCGTAATGTGCCCTCTCCCCAATCTTCATCTTTCCTTCTTTATTGAAATCACAGCCAGACTGAACAAGAGCATTTCTTAACAACAAACTTATTCGATTGCTATTACTGTGCTGTAATAATAAGCTGAAAGCTCCTGAGGAAAGAGAGCTGCTATTTTTTACCTGATTTTTTCTGAAGAAAACTCTCATCTTTATCATTAGGATCTTTTTCACTATAAAGTTTGCCAAGAGCTTCACCATCTCCACTCAGTTCTTCCAGTGATTGCTGCGTGGCACAGGACTGAGTTTGTACTCTGTCGATAAGGCCAGAGAAGCAAATTTGGTTCAAGAAGTGAACAGGTGTTTTATGAGGGAAATTATCTGGCAGTAGAATGACTTATTAAAGGGAAACTTCTGCATAAATAAAGTCATATGGCTTTCAAATGTCCTTAAAAAAGACTCCAAGAGACTGTTACCTATTCTATAGAAAAAAAACTTCCTTAGTAATTTCTACTTCCTTAGTTTCATCACCACTCATTGACAAAAGAGGAAACCATATCCACAGTGGGACAGTTTGCTCAGATAGGTGCTATATCTAGATTTAATCCTTCTAGTATTGACAAACTGAACTCACTATCAAAGCAATGACAGTTGCAGCAGACCATGTGTGTTAGATTCGAGATTGTTATCTTGTACTTTGTGTTGCACTAGACATGAGATTAAGTGATCTGTAGTGTGTATATTACAGCTTTTTCTTACTTCCTCCTGTGTTTTCTTTGATGTAAAGTAGAGATGAACAAAAACGGATAATGATTTTAGAACCACTGGATTGCACATGTACATGGCTAGAAGCAGGGGAAATCTGGACCTAGAAATAAAGGACAAATACTAAGCAGTGAGGAATAGGTTTCTTACAGATGCGATCCATTCTTCTTCATTTGCCGTTTCTACATCAAAAGGCTCTACTTCAAGTTAAGAGCTTGCGGAGTAAATTATTGGGTGAAATTTTTTATTCTGTATTATTCCAGGAATATGACTAGGTGGTTGCATTGAGATCATCATAGTTCAAACCCTTCTTCTTCTTCTTTTTTTTTCTTTTTTTTTTTTTTTTTAATCTGTGAGCAGTGCAAGATTAATGTCATATGTTTTTGTGTTACCATGGTGAATTTTCTTAGCTTGTGTACCCCAGCAAGGAGTAGCGTTCTGAAGGTTATTTAATGATACCCAGTGTTCGTTTAAAATAGTAAGACTCCACTCAGTTTAGCTGCACTAGTTTTCTGCACGCTGTGGATGCCAAAGAGAGTGTCCCCAGCACAGTGGTACTCTCTTTGGTGTACGTGTGCCAGGCACAGAACCACATCCTCCTTTCCCCTCTGATTCACTAAAGTCTTTACTTTGGTGGGGCAGTTTAGGGTTGTGTGGTGAGAGCCAAAAAGATCCTGCTTTTCCGTGTGCTATGCTTGGTAGCATGAGGTGAATGTAGTGATTCCTGCAGAACTGTTAGAAAAAAAAATGACCTTATCATTTCCTTTAGAAAAAGAGGCACCTATTTTTGTGCACCCTTGCTGAGAATTGTTGACCGCATGGATTCCTGCGCTGCTTGTTATTAAGTCCCTGCTTCTTACAGGAAAATGTTGGCCCTTGGCTAGTTTCTTGCTGCCAGTGAAAGTTGGTTCTGCTGTGCAGGATTATCCTTGTCATTCGAATGTTAGAGGTTTGAAGTAGCATGATGAAGTGAAAACCTCTGGGTCGCAGCTGAGCAGGATTTCCTCAAGTGCAGGTGTGGTAGAAAAATCTCTCAAGCCTTGGTTCAAGGTTGAATGTATTTGGGAGAGAGAGTACAAGCCCAAAGTAACAGTGCTGCAGACTGCAAGACAGCGCTGCAGCTGTTAAACAGCCTCCAGAAACTGGTCTTAACAAGCCTCACAGAAACAGTCCATAGGCCTTCGAATGGCCCAGGAGCAGAAAGGTGTGAGCTGGGTCACAGCTTTGATAGACACTTGGGGGCCTAAACGGCTGAACTTAGGGTGCGTGGTGAGGACCCTGAGCTGCCACCTCGCTGGTGCTTGTGTGTGTGCACAGATCCTGGCCTGGGTCCTGCTGCTGCGTCCATCCCATCAATGCAGGATGGAGCTTTTGCGGAATGAGCCTTCTGCTGCACTGCACTGCCTGCCTTGCCCTGGCGTGCACTTAAATCCTTTAGTTAGAATTTGTTTTTTAAATCTTCTCTTGAAGTTATTCAGTTTTTCAATATATTCTTACCGGAATGTTAGCTTTTTTGGGGGAATGTTATTGACTCCTTCCTTTTTAGTACATTTGCTTCAAGGCCATGACATTTTATAAAACTAGCTGGTGTCACAGACCATAGGATTTTTTTTTTTAAATATAAGCTTTATTTTAATGCAAACTCAGAAGTGCTTGCATATGGACTGTTTTCCAGTTTGAGTGTCTATTTAAATGTCAGGATGTGGGCTCTGATTCTGAGGGTTTTTTGTTTCACTAAAAATCCTCTGCTAAAGCTATTCTCATCCAAGGAAAATCAGTGATACCTTTTTTTTTTTCCAATGGCAAAATTGTTTATGTAAAGTTTTTCGTACAACTTCAGTTAAAGTTTTCAAGAAGCAGATGGAGTGCTAGAAACTGAGTTGAAAAGGCACATATTCTTGTTTGACATGAAACACTTAGACACATTGAAATAACCCATTTTGATGGCTGATCTGGAAGCCTCCTAAATGATAATTTCCAAATGTCCAGTTATTTGATAACTAACAAAAATGTCTGTCATATTTAACCTTGCTCTGAAACCTCATTTAATCATGTTTGCCTGTTGTTCTTTTTTCCCCTCACCCTTGTTGAACCAATTAGGTTGGTTATGTTGAACATAGCCAATTTCTAATACATTTAAAACAGAGATAGATATCTCCAAAAGAATAATTTCATACAAATTTCATAGAAATTGTGGGTGTGTAAAGGAAAGATTCGAATTACTAGGGGAAAAGGTTAAGGGTGAATTCAACAGCTATCTGTTTTGTTTGACATGATCTTGAATAAACACACCCGTGTTTAAAAACCAGCCAGATTTGTGGCTCTTGCTTAGGGGGAAATCAGTAAAACATGAAGGGGAGCTGAGGATACTATGGGGTGAACAAGAGGGGTTCAGCTGGGCAGCTATGGGAGTCGGAGCATGAAATTCCCTGTCGGAAAATCCTTTGTTCATGACTTCTGTTGTTCACAACTAGTGAACATTTTCAATCTGCAACTTAATGAAAAGTTTCATTTTGCTATATTTCTATATTTTCATATAGTGCAGAATGAAAACCCAATGACAAATGCCAACAATTTCTATAAAGGGAATATTCCTATTTCAGAACTGCAGTTGCAACCACAGGCTTCTGGAGGGTTCAGAGTACGTATATATATATATCTCCAGTATGTAGTGGAGTACTGAAAATCAAAGTTCTTAAAGAAAATATCTGATTTAGTAATTGCAGCCTCTTGCAGCCTTGGCACTTGAGAGTTGTAGAAAGATTTCCCAAGAACTACTTTTCAAAGCTTGAGTGACAGTTCCATTCCTTGGCAAAGTAGATTTCAAAGAAAAAGTTGTTCTTAATGTCAGTCCCTATTTTAGTATTTGATACTATCCAGGACTCAAATTTTAAAAAATAATTATGAAGATAGAAGAGGAGAGGAAAAACAGACACCAAAAAGTTTTTTAAAAATATATATTTTTAAATACTTCAAAGTATTTCAAGTTGATTTATAATGTTTATCTGAACTAGTTCAGCTATCATTGTTCACCATGCAAAAAATAGCTTTGTCTTTGTTTTTCTCACTTTCACAATTCAACATAATGAGATGCAAATTGTGCTTTTTTTTTTTTTTTTTTTGTGCTGTTAGCAAAAGTGAATGTGGTAAAAGTTTCATTACCTCCTTGTTAATCTTTAATGAGTATAAAAGTTGATACTGTTATTTATAGTTTGAAAGATAATGGTCTAAGGAGTGGCTTCCAGCTATCAGATGAAATATAAATTATAGTGGCAGTGCAGAATTTGGCAGGGTGCATGTATATGCATACACGATTACTTAATTATACAGTACTATGCACCTGTGTGTGTGTGTATATATATGTTATTATTAAGTTTTAGTCTCAAGCATAATATCTTTTAAGATTTCACTAAGAATAAAATAAGATATTGGAAATAGCACCACTTCAAGAAGTTTGTTTCTTTTACAGATAATGTCTGTTTGTAATGTAGAAATCATACAAGTACAGCACAGTTCACTAGGAAAATGAGCTTAGTGTTCTCAATTCCGTCCAAGTTGGACAGCACATTATTTGGCACAATTGAGTGGCCTAGCTTTAGGAGAAGTACAAGACTGAATAAGCATAGAGGCTTTATTATTTTTGAGCGAGCTGAACTGTAGGCCTAGAATGATGAGAAACCCTTGTGCTGTGTCCCACCTGCTTTCAATTCTGCTGGTTTCATAAGCATTGGATTTACAGCAGAAAATAGGCTCATAAAGAAATGCTTTTATTGATGTTATGTATAGATGAATAATGCTGAATATCACTGTCTTTCACTTCCTGTATCTATGTAAACAAACAAACAAAAGTTTTGTGAGTTTTACAGAAATGTTCAGGTAAACTTGGTGAGACTAACTAGGGTGAGATAGTAACTAAGGTGAGATATTTTATGTTCAGTAGACAAATGATTTTGTTGCGGTGGGTATTTCTCTTGTACCGTCATTTCTACTGAACAAAAACTGTTGTCTAGAGCAAATGTCATTTAATTTGTCTAATCTTAACTGCATGGTAGAATGTTGACTTATGTTGGGGCATAACCAACCTTAAATAAGCTACGGATTCTGTTCCTATGAACTCTGATGTTTGTAGATTGAAAGAAAAAAGCATAGCAAGTATTCTTTTATGTGGAAAGAGTAAAAGGAAATAGACTATTGTCTTTGAACTTCCCTGTACTGAGAAGACCCAGAAAGAGGCTTGAAAAACAGTTATAACGTGCTTGCTCAAAGGTAAGTTTCAGTGAAGGTGTGACAGAAATCTTCAGCCTTGTGTGTGATACTCTGCTCAAAGATGTTAAGCATTAGAATATGATTTTTAGACTGTGATTACAATAAAAGGGTGGGATTATTAAGTCATGGTCTTGCAATTGTCTCAGAATTTGAAGAGGAGTTATTGAATTTCCTCCCATACAGACCGTATTCTGTAGGCAGTTCTTTCTTGGACCTGAAGTTACAATGCACTAGGCATCTCAGATGGCTTCAGCCTGAGCTGAGGTTAAGTAAATAAATGGTAAAAGTTAAGAGCAGTTATCAAA